GATACTCGCTTCTATACCTAAAGCTAACCCTACTTACAGCTTATCCGAGGGAGTAGTATAAAGTGTAAAAGGTTTACACTTTGGTTGGTTTCCAATCGTACCAAAGTACAACTACAGTGTACCTTTTACACTTTATACTACTTCCTCGGATAAGCTGTAAGTAGGATTAGCTTTAGGTATAGAAGCGAGTATCGGATGAGCCACAAGTAGGATCATCCCTAGGTGTAGAATGGGCATTACATTAGAATCCTACATCATAATAGAGGACTTTCCTCTATAAACGATCAAGGATAAGTTACCGATATTAGCGACGGTCTTCATTATCCGATGTAGGTAATTTCACTCAAAGTGCAGAAAGTGTAACAAGTGCATGTGAGAAGAAGAGCTGGTGAATCATCCGATTGGGCTCCGTTCAAGTTAGCGAATCTTAATTGGAATGGATTGGCACAAACGTGATCGAAAAGAGTCGTCATATAAATGTAAGACTAAGTGTATCTCTCTGATGCATTATTATTGCGCCATGTTGCATGTAAAATTAACGAGATATTGGAAGGTTAGGTAGGATCGTTGAACGCCGGCCCAGATTAGTGTACACTTGCGTGTGATTTTCCGTAGAAATAAAAGACCGTGTTTCTCAAATCCACATGACGTCCGCCACGATGATTGACCGTGTTAGTCGCTTCGTTCTCCAAATGCGCAAGCGAGGTAAAAGGATGATTGGGCACCAGCGGTGCATGGTCAGAGACAGTTGCAGCCAAGTCGATGGGAAGACTCTAGAGCGCCTGAGCGGCAGGAGTGTGCTGCGCGTAGGTGGCAACGAGGCCTCCACCTTCCTCCAGGGATTGATGACGAACGACATGAAGCACCTCGACGAAGGGACGCCCAGCATATACACACTGTTCCTCAACACCCGAGGCAGAGTGATGTGCGATGCTATAGTGTACAAGAGCGAGGAGAGCAACTTGTACTATGTGGAATGCGACTCGCAGATTATCGATTCCTTGCAAAGGCACTTGAAGATGTATCGCGTCAGACGAAAGATAGATGTAGAACATGTAGGGGACAAAATCCATGTCTGGTCGATGTTTGGCTCCACGAAACGTTTGGATAATGGAGTAGCAGCGGACGAGACGGGAAAGCAAAAGCTGGAAGGAATGATATTTCCATGTGGCACTCTAGACAGCAAAGCGAGCAAGTTTGTCGATAATGTTATGATATACGAAGATCCCAGGTTACCTGATTTAGGCCTGAGAATTCTCGCCGAGTCGCAGATTGGCAGACACGAGATAATGAAACACCTAGACGCCGACACACCTCCGGAGGGCCTCGGAGATTACAAGGCGTTTCGATACAAACTAGGAGTAGGGGAGGGCACGCACGATCTACCACCTGGGAAAGCTTTGCCCTTGGAGATGAATTGCGATTACCTGCACGGCATTAGTTTTCACAAGGGCTGCTACATCGGTCAGGAGTTAACCGCGCGCACATATCACACGGGTGTGGTCAGGAAGCGCCTGATGCCTTTGTTGTTTGATAATATTGTAGATAAGCCGCTCGCGTACGATGAGAAAATTCTCAACGAATCTGGCAACGCGGTAGGAAAGTTTCGAGGATGCGTCGCAAAGTACGGATTAGGTCTGATGCGTATCAATGAGTCTCTTAGTGCCAGACAGCTTAATGTATCCGGTATAAATGTGAGGGTGGTCAAACCTGCATGGTGGCCGCAAGAATTGCAGAAAGAAATGGTTTCTGTCAAAGATACAAAATAACGTCGTGACGTTTCCGAGCAAATATAACAAATTGTCATGTAGAGACTATACATACATGCATGATATTAAAAATTGTTACATATTTGAAAATATTAAGTAAATTCAAATAAATTTAAAAAAAATCAACAATACATTCAATGGATTCTGCTCCTTGTTGCTTTGTAGAAGGATCTCGCTACCATGTCAACGGGCGAATCTAGTATCGGCGAGCAGGCGCAACGGGACATTTCCAAGAGTAAACAGACGGTGACGAACGTGGGTGGCACCTTTACGTGTTCTTTTTGTCCTTTGAAAGAACGCTACGATTACAAAGGCACGAGACCGCCATTCGCCCGGCAGTTGGTTTATTCGGAAGAGTGTTACGTTATGAAGGATCCGTTCAGCTTGCCAAACAGGGGCGAAGTCTTAGTTCTAGGTGCCGATTGCAGCGTGTGCGAACACGCTGTATGCCTAGGATGCAGCATATTTTACAAGAGACGCTTCTGTCCGAAGTGCGCGTCCAGTAATATACAATATTTACCTCTTCAGTTACATAATAAAATCAAGAATTTATCAAGGCAAACAGATCCGTAAAAAGAAATTTGCAGGCATTATTTATTAAAGAGCAATGACAATTACATAAAGCAAAATATACTTATACATAAATATAGGAGGTATTTCGTTTCCTTTCATGTCTGTGATAACTACGACGTTCCTTATAACAATATCGGTTTTTAAATGAACATGCGAATGTCTTAGAAAATTAAAAAAAATCTTGCAGTTTGAGAATCTATATTATGTGACAATGTTAGCCAAAACGTTTACCCATGAGCTTTTCAGTCATTACCTTCTTTTTCTTGTCAAGTTTTTTCTTCTTTCTGTTTTTCAAAGTGGCTTTTTGGCCCTGAAACGCAGTAGACTTCTTTCCTTCGTTATCTCTCTGCAGCTTTTTTTGTTTCTGAACATTTTCTTCACATTTAGACTGTAAAAAAGAAATACGAATATGTAACGTTAATTCCGTCTGTAAAAAAAAATAGGTTTACGAAGAGGCAAGATATACTTACAGATTCTTCCCAACTTGTCTGATATTTTTTAAATAATGTGAATGAGTCATTCTTTTTATACCAAATATGTGGTTTTTCCGTCTCTTTTTGATTCTCAACTTCGCCGTCCTTTCCGCATGTATTTATGTCAACATTCACTCTCGATACTGTTACTGACTGCCCCCTAATTTTCAAAGAATCGCTAGACTCGACAGCGCAATTTGCAGCCGCTTTTTTAAAAAAATGGACACGACAGTTAATACATAGTTCCGTTTTCTCATCGCGATAAAATCTTAAACATTCAATTTTTCCAAAGCTGGAGAAGGCCTCCCAAACTTCATCAAATTGTACATCTGAAAGTTTTAAAGCATCAACCGATTATTAATTTTTATACTAGACTATTGCGATAGTCGATTAAGAACGGTTTAGTATACATACCCTTTATCAGATCTTCTACGAGTACAGTTTTTTTTGGGTTATACGGTCCTTCATATCTAGTAGACATCTGTATACTCAAGATGTTTCCATGGTATTTCATTCCATGCAGAGCTCTTACTGCACCCTCTGCAAATTGCTTTGTCGTATATATAATTAATAATGGGTGTAAAAACTTTCGTTTTGTACCATCTAAATTTACACCTATTTTAGTGGTGCACAATTGGTGACCAAATGCTTCAATGTCACCATATTGAGAAAACAGTCTTGTTAAAGCTACCATATCTACCTCTGGTAAAATATTTTCAACTACAATCTGTCTTTCCATACATCGTTTTCTCTCTTCAAGGGGCATTTGAAACGGTACCCAAAATTTCTTATCGGTATCCTTATCTGCTTTTTCTTTTGCTTGTGTTACCACATTATCATTATCCGCGTCATCTTCCTCTTCAATACTAATGTCACTGTCGTCATCCTCATCTTCTTCGTTAAAATCTTCATCATCATCATCGTCTGCAATACTTTTTCCTAAAAGTGTTTGTAAACCAACGTCTTCTACCGTACTGTCATCGTCGTCATCGTCATCGTCGTCGTCATCGTCTTCTTCGGAATCATCCTCCTCATACTCATCTTCATCAGTTACCATTAGCGAAGAAGTATCTACTTGATCTTTAATATCCTTTGTTTGTTTTTCATTATCCTCTTCCTCCTCGGTTTCTTCATCCTCGTCTTCACTCTCATCAGTAAGCATGCTCACCTCACTGTCGTAGTAATCCTCACTACTGTCATCTGTGTCAGTGTCATGCTTTTCAGCTACAGATTTTAGACCTTTAAACATTTTGACGCCTTTATGCTTGGTTGTTCCTTCTTCATCGCCATCATCATCCTCTTCGTCTTCTTCAATATCTTCTACATAATCTTGATCCGATTCATCCGAATCATCATCTAAGGTCTCGTCAAGGATATTCGGGACATTAATGTCCGTACTCTTAGCTTTCTTCTGCACTCGATCCTTCGGTGATACAGCCATACCCATGTTCGCGCCAAGAAGATTCATACCAGGTCGGAATGTGTCAGGATTATAAATGTATCTTTTGTTGCTCGAAACATTTTGTTTCTCACTTTGAGAACTTGACTCTAATTGCTGTGCATTACTCTTGGATGCTCGTTTACGCCCCATTTTTTCCTCATTCTTACCTTTTGCACCCACAGAGTGTTTCTCGATATTTTTCGGAGACAGCGAATGTTTCACATTGGTGCTTGGTGTCTTTGAATTCTTGAGCAATGCTACTTTACCCGTTGGTGTGTTCTTAAATTTGGGCTCCTTGTTCTTTTTTACAGAACCATCTTTTATTCCATGCAACTGCTGGTTTGCCACTTCACCTGTACTCTGCTTTATCTTGCGCTTTGTCTTACCCATTATTTCCTGCAATCACGTAAGATAGAATTATATAGGTAAACTTGTGCACGTGTCCCAGTAGACAAAAGGTAAAGGCCGGAAGGACAAAACTTTAACTCAAAATATTCCCGAAAAAAAAGTAAACATGAATAGATATACATTCAAATACTAAATAGACCTAATATTGAAGATTCCTTGGGCAATCAGTAACGTTTCGCCTCAATTATCAATTTCTTTTTTTTTTAGTGTTCCTCTCTACGGGGGTATCAATTTAATGTCGAAATTTTCTAGGCGAAATATTTCAGAATGGTCGGTAAGGACCGCAAGCGCGATTGTGTGAAAATATTGACTCTGCACGAAAGTTCAACGGTCGTCTCCTGTGCACGTGTAACATATAATCTACGTGCGAGATGACGAAACTAAGGTAGTCGAAAGCGAATATCTAATTGGAACGTATGAGAGATGACACCGTAGAATGTATTTGCCAGTCGTTATAGTTTGTCTTGAATTACCAGTGAAGAAAGTGGGATTTTCAAGCGTAGAAATGCCTTGCTCGACTCGAATCGCTGCTCGCTGCCGGTACATACAACGGTAAACGTACCACTGATGCCGACGCAATACCGCGAGAAACGAGGATGGAATGGAAGGAAAGGGAGGAAAATGGAGGGAAACCTATGCGCCAATGGGAAGTGGTGCGTTCGGAAAGCCATCGCGTAACTGATTGTGGATAAGCGGGATCTGATTGGTAAATTCCAACGACATATAAGGTCCAAGTTGCCCCGACGACCAATACCGTCGTTTTATTGAGGATTTATGTGACGGGCATTGGGTCCCGTTGTCGCCTTCCGTCGCCAGCTCGGGGAGAGAACCGCCATTGGCGGTTGCAGTATGCAACAGGCCTGAACAGGCACGATCTTGTCACGTTACGTCGAAGTTTCGGGCTCTCGGCATCATTCTATCGAGTTTGTCAGTTCGTGACGGCGAGTTTTTCGTGTGATTTTCTGTGATACTACAAAATACTCCTGTGATACAAATACGAAAATGTTAAACGAACCTGATGGAGAATCGGTAGAGGCTCGTGAAATTTCCAATGGAAGCAAATATTAAATTTAACATTGTTTTGTTATTCACTTATATTATTTTATTATCTAGCTGCTACCAAGACTAATTTATGTATAGCGCGACCATTCGACGAGAACTAATCTTGAGTTATGTAAATGACACGTCGATTGCAGCGGAAAAATGTACACTGAGGTGTTAAACGAATTTTCGCCATTACGGGGAGTTTGGTAGAGCCCGAGGGAGGCGTGATCGTCCTGATATCTCGTTGAGAACGTAAGAAATTTGCAACTCGAGCGGTGGAATCATGGCCGTGTCGATAAATGAAATCTGCGAGAACACAAAGCTCGCGCGTGAAATGGCATTGATGGGAAACTACGACACGTCTGGCGTTTACTATCAGGGAGTAGTGCAACAGATACACAGACTACTCGCAACCATAGCAGACGCGACTCGCAAGGCAAAGTGGCAGGTTGTGCAGCACCAGATTGCCGAGGAGTTTGAGAAAGTCAAGGCCACGTCCAACACGCTGCAGCTCTTCAAAGTGGACACGCACGGCGAGAGGCTGCTCGGTAGCGCAATTAGGATAAGCGTTAAATAGGACAAGATCAAGGCTGATATAACGAGACTGTGAATTTCAGGAACGTCCTGTCTGTCATTTGAAGAGCCAACGCGAGATCCTGCTATGTGGTCTTACAACAATTCAGATTCCTCTTGGAGTCAGACACCACCGAGGGATCCCGATGTCTGGCCTCCCTTAACCCCAGCAGAACAAAAGTACCTTATCATCTATTCATTTCCTACAAACCTCTTTTCTTCCTATTTCTCAAAGAAATTATTTATCTGATTGATCTCTTTACAATATTGTTAATACCTTTTTTAGAAGTTCCCGACAACAGAAGATTCAGCAGAAGCAGCAGAATCGAACAAATACCAGGAAATCTCTTGCCACAGCCAGGAAGCCAGAAAGTAAAGCTTCTGGTAAAAGGGACGATAAGAAATCTGCCAAAAAAGATGATGCGAGCAAGGTGACTTTGTTTACTGATTATATTTCAAGATTTTCTTTTCTAATGCAATGCAAATACTAATCTATTGCATACTAATTTGCAGGATAAGCCAGAAACGGAAAAAGACGACGTTGAACTAGAAGAACGTAAATTTGAGCCGTCTTCAAATGATAAAGATCTTGTAGAAATATTAGGTAATATACTTGGTCATTTTCGTTAGTATTACGTTAGCAAACGTATAACGATGACAATGTAAAAGCAATCGCTTATATTAACATTGTAGAGAGAGACATTGTTCAAAAGAATCCAAATATTCACTGGGATGATATAGCTGATTTACACGAGGCAAAGCGATTGCTGGAGGAAGCAGTTGTCCTTCCAATGTGGATGCCCGACTTCTTCAAGGTAAGTTGCCTTAATTTTAGTCGTGTAATACAATATAGTTAACATATGCTTATTTGTAGGGGATCAGGCGACCTTGGAAAGGAGTGCTAATGGTTGGACCACCAGGCACAGGTAAAACTATGCTAGCAAAGGCTGTTGCGACAGAGTGTGGCACAACATTCTTCAATGTCTCGTCCTCTACATTGACGTCCAAGTACAGGGGTGAATCGGAGAAACTCGTTCGGTTGCTGTTCGAGATGGTAAAACAATTAAAACATTATCGTGGCTCACATATCTAAGTAAAATTGCTGTTGATCGAAAGAAACGTGACGTCCATTCACGGTATCAATTATATTTGGACATAGGCCAGATTTTATGCGCCCAGTACGATCTTCATCGACGAAATTGATTCTTTGTGCTCTAGAAGAGGATCTGAATCCGAACACGAAGCTTCACGTCGTGTAAAGTCCGAGCTTCTTGTTCAGATGGATGGAATAAGTTCCAATAGGTAAAATACCGTATAATACTTTTCTTTCGTGATACAAATAATTAGTAAATATTCGTTTTATATGTAGCGAGGATCCAAGTAAAGTGGTAATGGTACTAGCGGCAACAAATTTCCCATGGGATATCGACGAGGCTCTAAGAAGACGTTTAGAGAAACGTATCTACATTCCACTACCAAATCGTAAGTCTTGTAAATCCTGGTCTATTCAACGAGATGTAGTGTATCTTTAATAAAATATATTTTCTTCATTACAGATGAGGGCAGAGAAGCATTGCTAAGGATAAATCTTCGTGAAGTTAAAGTAGATCCGTCTGTGAATATGACAGATATCGCAAGGAAACTAGAGGGTTATTCTGGAGCAGATATTACGAATGTTTGTCGGTGAGTAGAATCTATTGCAACAGCTTACATCAATTTTCTAACTAGTAATTTTACCCGTTGTTTGTCACAGGGATGCTTCCATGATGCTAATGCGAAAGAAAATCGCAGGTCTAAGACCTGACCAGATCAGACAATTGCCGAAGGAAGAATTGGATTTGCCCGTGTCTGCTGCAGATTTCGACGAAGCCGTTGAGAGATGTAACAAAAGCGTTTCTCAAGAGGACTTGGAGAAATATGAAAAATGGATGAGCGAATTCGGTTCCTCTTGATATCATTCCCTCAAGAAGTAATAACATATTTCATTAACATGTTCGTTGATCCTGATTACAATTAATGTTGCAATATTATTCTGTTTAACATATACAAGGAAGCTTAAGGAGTTTAATCCTTCGCAACTCCTAAATGACTAGTTCTCTATACTCGAGACTTGAGGAAAATCAAATTGGAAAATAAAAGACTGTATGGTAGGAATAGTATGAGATAAAAGTTGAGTAATATTTCTAATCTGTTAGGCCGTAACGCTGAATGAAGACTTAATGACGGTAACAAAGCAGTTGTAACTTTTGTATAGTCAGTAATATATTTCATTAAATCTACATATAAATCTATTTGTAACAATACAATCATTGAAACAATGCCTAAGATTTAATTGATATTTTGTAGTTTGCCTGTACACCTTCAGCTCTTTTTTGGAGCGCAACCTTCTTTTCGTAGATTTCTCGTTTCCTCATCTATATTTTTCGAATCTTTCGGTGCTTTATAATTGGCAACATGGTCCACTCTTATTATTCTACCCAGTATCTATAAAAGAACAAGTTTTCACTATCGTTAGTTGAGGTAATTGTATAATTTAGACAAACAAAAATTCTGTAGACATGAAGCAAATAATATACAAGAAAATGGTATTGCTATCCTGCTAAAATATACCTTTGTGCCATTGAAGTTGTCTACTGCCAATATGGTGCTCCTCTGATCCTCGTAACATAAGAAGCCGTAGCCTTTCTGCTTCCCGGTATCTTTATCTCTGATTAAATTTATATTAACTACTTCCCCGTATCTGTAATGATATTACATTTAGTTTAGAAACGTAGCTGGCAGCATAATCGTGAGTGAGACGACAGATTTCAACTTACTGAGAAAAAATGGCGATAATGTCACCTTCTGTCAAATCGTACGACAGGCCACCAATAAAGATCCAAGCGCTATCCTTATACTGGTCGTGCCAAGACGTTTTGTTCCTGGCTTGTAATTCTTGCTCGTTGAGCTTCTTTATATTTTTGACGTTACTGAAAGCACAGACCAATTTTACAATCATACTTATTACTTTACAAAGTATTATAGAAATTTGTATCAAGCTAAAAATGTGAGATGTGGAAAATATGATTGACTATATAGTCATATTATTAAATTACTAAATTAACTAATCAAACTTATATTTTCTTTTATTCACATTCGAGCGTTCTTTTTTAATCTACACTCAAATTCTAATTGGAAATACTTACGTTAAAGGATTCATAGCAATCGATAATTGAAAATATCACAGATAGACATAAATAGACAGTAAATTCCAATCGGAAAAATATTGTGAACTGCTTAAAAATACTTAAAAGGAAGAGAAGGAAATCGTAGTGGCCGCTGACGAATCTTTCTCTTTTTAGGTTACGATGACTGACTTTAAGCAGAGAGAAACCTGAGATGAGAGCGGCCACGCCGGTGTTTTACTTGTTACCGTTTCAGGGGACTGCGCGCCCATTTTTACTTTTGGAACTATTTCATTACGCATTTTCTGACTCTGCCGATCAGGTATTTTTATTTATAAATTCCGTAAAAAATATATAAATATATAATCGGATGCATATAATAAGTTGTTATGCGTTTGTTAAGTTTTTACTTAAAATTTACTTAAAATTTTTGTAGAATTGATTTACTTTTAAGAGACCGTTAATAAATACATTCATGGTATTGTATGCATGCCGAATATTTCATATGTAACGTCGAGAGAAATATTGTATTGTATAGATATTATAATCAATGTATAGCCAATGAATTATGCTTGTAGGAAGGCGCTAATACGCAAAGGCAAGGCCTATGCGATTTGTGGAGGTTTAAAAAATATATTAAGTAACTATTAAGCCTCCGCTACAATGATTCTCGGTTCTGTCTACAATGGTCGTAGTCGTAAGAATAATCGACTGCGATTGGTCAATTCAGTCAGAACGACTACGACTACGACCATTGTAGACAGAACCGCTCAGTATGATTGGCTAATACTTTTAGATCCAGCCAATCATGTTAAGAAATCATTGAGCGCTCACTCAACAGTTGTGTCTGCTGAACGCGGCCATTGTAGCGGAGACTTTAAGCTATTGCCTGTGTCCAGCAGAAGTTTGCGCTTGCTAAGCGCTGCTAAGCGCTTTGCGTTCATTGGATTATACTTTCAGATCTGTGCTGAAATAGAGCTATTCTTCTAGATCTATCCAATCAGCATAAAGCGCTTATTCTTAGCTAACTTCGGCAGAACACAGCCAATATCTCAATTCTTCGGTGGATTCGTCAAAGACGTTGATTGGCTGCCGATGAGTGCGCCGAGTCTCAATTCAACTGTGCGATTCCAATCTATACCAAACTATTTCGCCCACGCCAGTGTTTGCTTCTGCTCTCGCTCTTCTCTTGCCATTTTTTTCCTCTGTTTGACAACAGTGACGTTAAACTGCGTTAAACGCGGAGTTTTCACCGACGGTTACGAGAACGGGGAAGATGGTATTCAATGTCGATAGGAATTGAAGCGTAGCGGGCATTCGGTTCCCAACGGGACTTGGATGGACAGTTTAGGTTAGGTTAGGCGGGGTCGCGATTCTCCGCCTCCGTTGTCAATCGTCAACATCGGACTCGTCGGAGGCGACGGTCACGGCTTTGTTCGTCGGCGTTCGCTTCGGTCGCTATGTACTCGACGAAAACGCCGACTCTGCGGATCGACGAGGCCGATCTGAAATGCAGAAACGGCTGCGGATTTTATGGCAACGCCGAATGGGAGGGCTACTGCAGCAAATGCCACCGGGAACACCTGCAGAAACGACGGGCTCAAGCTGAGCGAGTGATCCACGCGCAGACCTCGGATGCGTAAGATTTTCTTGTCCCATAATCAATTGTCGCGTTACGTTCTCTGTGCCTCTAATGAAATGCCTCCGTTGCTCCTCTTGCAGCGACAACGTCAATCGATCGACAAGTGCTGGAAGTCACAAGAGTTATGAGGAAAAGAAAGTACAGCAGGAGAAGAAGTACAAGTTGTTGAACATTTCATTCAGAAAACCTGTTGCGAAAGGTAAATTGTGCTAGATCTCTCGCTGCGTCTTGTCTGTTGGAGCTATAAGACATATGTTTCTGTGTATTCAAGTTCAGGGATATCAGGAATTGTATCACGAGCTGCTAAAGGACAATCCAGATCTCGAAAAGGTCAAGGCGGAAAATCGAGACTTGCTGTTGTATATAGCCAAGACGCCGGTGGAGAAGGATGTGAGAAAATGCATACATTCGTTTGTAGTAGACATACTCCAGAACAAGGATGTGAAAAGGATAGAAGAACTGTCGGAAATAACGCAAAACTTTTACCATGTGTTTGGAAAGCGTCTGGAGAACAGCACTAAATACGCAGGTTTTGATCTACATATATATTTATCTCAAAGAAAAATTGCAGTTATCTCATAGAGCAATGTTTATCCATTGCGCTATTACAGATATATCTCCAGATATTAAAGAGAAGTTATTAGATTATGTCGAAAGGTATGCTATGACCTTGTTGTACAGAATCCTTTTCTGCCCTCCGTTTACGACGGATGAAGAGAAAGACCTGGCTATACAGAAAAGGTTTGCGTCACAACTTTTCAACAGCTTAAGATATTCTATATTCAACAGAGCATGTCAGTGGTAATTTCTTCTTAACAGGATACGGCAATTAAATTGGGTTAGTGGTAAAAATTTGGAATGTAGGATTCACGAGACAAGCTCGGAAGTTAGGGAACTTGTGTATACATCTATTACAGGTAATACTACTGATGAAGTCTCGTAATGAACAATTTAGCAGCTCGATATCGTAACACGATATAGAATACGAATTTCTTTTAGATCTTTTGAATATGGATTCCGCTAAGGCGCCGCAAGAAAAACTTGCGTGTGTTATTCACTGTTGTAGAAATATATTCTTGTTGTTGCAACAATCCGTCGACGGACCAGCATCTGCCGACGAATTCCTTCCGGCGCTCATATTTATCGTTCTTAAGGCTAATCCCGCGCGTCTTAAAAGCAATATAAATTTTATCACGAGGTTTTGCAATGCCAGCAGACTAATGACTGGAGAAGGAGGATACTACTTTACGAATCTGGTACAGTTAACTCGACACATATTGGGCGTTTTGCAAATTTCTCTGGAGATAAGAAATTGTTACTATTAGTTTTAATAATGATTTGTAATGCAGTGTTGTGCAGTGTCATTTATCGAAAACTTAACTGCGGAATCCCTGAATATGGCTGAGAAGGATTTTAATGCATACATGTCGGGAGAATGCGTGCCAGCTAATACATGGGAATCAGCTCTGATGATATGCGAAGTAATATTTGTGATATGCTTTGTGTCGCAGACTAGTCATTAATGTAATTTATATAATTTGTGGTGTTCAATTACTGCAGAGCTTGCACTTCATGTGCGAAGATATAACTTTATTGGATGACTTACAAGCTAAGAATACCGACATTATAAAGCAAGCGGAAGAACTGAAAAACAAAATGATGAATTTCAAAGAGAAGATTAGAGAGGATGTGAATAAAGTGATTGAGAGGACGCCATTGCTAATATCTCATAGTCAGAGAGTACCTACTAATTTAGATAGCGAGGATATTGAAAGTTATCAGCTACCACCACCAATTATTCCGCAGGTGGGAATGATTAAATATAATTTTTTGTTCTGTTCGTTACATTCATGTTAATTTCTTGAACAGATATATCCACATTCTATCGATAACATGAATGGCGGTGTAATGACGGAGCTGTCGAATGATTTAATGAGAACGTCGTTAGTAGAAGATTCCGTAACGCCATCGCCAACATTCGACTTTCCATCCTTCATCGGCGACGACAGTCTGGAAGTTAGCAAATGCGAGGACGAAACTAGTCTTATCAGTTTAGATACTCAGTCCGATCTTGCGTCTGGCGAGACACAGCTCTTTAAGAAACATATGACAGACAGCTTACTGGACGAGTGTCCGACACCTGAAGCGAATCTACCACCAGTTTTGAAACCAATTAGCTCGGAAGATTATCACGGGTTTACGATTCAAGGATCAAATATACCGACAATCCCATGCAGCACAGGTGATTCATCCTTAACTCCGGCCGACTTGGATTCTGATAATTATTCCGGTTATTATCAAAACATGTAGTATTAATTAGAGAAACGTGATCCAAGTAATATTTATGCGAGAAGCATTTAATAAACTTGGATTGCGGTAGCGATTCAGTTAAGAGGAATGTTAAAT